TCTTTCTCTCTCTCTCTCTCTCTCTCTCTCTCTCTCTCTCCCATATTTGTTGCACCAAGGTGTAATAATAATCAAGTTATCAAACATGTATGTGACAAGCTTTCATTTTTACTCTTGTCTTTATTTGTAGCATTTTTGCCTATCCTGAAAACGTAGCATATATAGACTTGATTCATTGGTGCCCAACACCATCTCTATGTTGATAGCGATATGAGTGATTTTTTAAATTCTCGTTTTACATGTAGTTGAGGTGTTGCTTGCTCATTGTATGAAATCAAATTGAATATTTATAGTAAATGTACAATTTACTCTGAATGCAGGAGCGTTTAGAAGAGGAGAAAAGACAAAAGAAGAAACAGAAGAAAAAAGAACGTGAGGAACGACTGAAGAAAGAAGGGAAGTTCTTGACAGAGAAGCAGAAGCAGGACAAAAGGAGATTAGAACAGATGTTGGAAGCAATGAAAGAAGCTGGTAAGAGTTAATCTAAAGATATGAACAATATTTGTGAAAGTATCTCTCTTATATTCTCATCTCGAAGGTTCCCCCCCCCCCTTCTGCGGGCCCATCTCTTGACTCTTTACCACTATTCTGGTTTCTTCTTACTGCTGTCTTTCAGCCACACACCTGATCTTAGGGTAGGTAAGATCGAACACCTAGCCTTCTCTGATAAGGGTGAAAAAATCTCGGAGGTCCCGTGTGCAAGTTGAGCACATTAAAGATCCCCTTGGTGTTCCTAAAATCGGATAAGAGTAGGCTTCAGCCACCACCTAGGCAGTTGCGAGCGCAGTAAAACACTTACCAAAACAAACCCCCCCCTGCAAGTGTTCTATTGTGTTTGTGTGCTATTTCTTTATATACTTGAAAGATAAAAAAAAATGTCCTTTATACTGAATGTTGACCACTACATTATTGTTGGCAAGCTGTTCAACTATTCAAAGTCAAGAAATAAATTTCAGTAGAGAAAAAAAAAAACTGTTTCTTTCTTGTAAAAATTATTCCTATATTATGTATTTTTTCTTGCTTATGTGAACATAGAATTTGCATTTTTAACCAAATATTTTTTGAGGGCATGCAACTGATATCACAGCTTAAAATTCAGCAACAAAAAAATCAAAATATTAGACTAAGTATATCTGAACAGCTAGCTGTTGATATATAATGGTCTTCATGAGAATGTTTTTTTAAACTGAAGATATACGTAGCAATGTCAAATGCCGTGGCGAATTCGCTCTGTGGTTTCAGCGGAGTGGGTGTACCCCAGTGTACTGCTCATTTATAGCATTTTTATTTGTGGGACAGCCAAAAGTCATTCATTAATGTACGCGGGAAATGATGACACATTCACAAGTGAAAAAAATTTTCCGTTAGATTTATGAAGGGCTGAGTTCTTATCGTGGAAAGCGGATTGGTTGATGCAAACCCAAGTTTTGCCAAATGGCCGAGGAAATTTCGACTATGTCATTTTCTGAAGGCTGTCATTGTCGGAAGGCCCCACAGGGTTGCAGAAGATACCCGAACTCCACCAAAATTTTCAAACAATGAGAAGAAAAGTCAAAGGACACCTTAGACCCTGCGGGTCCAAACCAATTAATAAATAGATATCAAGTCATAACTTTACGGGTATTGTGGTACTTTTTCCGACAACTACTTGTTCTTTCAGCATTTGGATTGCTCCTAGGACCATGCAGGTAAAGTGCAGATTGCAATAATACTATTGATGCCTTATGAATAAAAAAAAACCAGACGCCTTTTCAGAATGTTAAAGTTAATGCATTTCAATTCTTTCGCCCAGCCCGAACACCCCGAGGAACATTCAGCTGTGCGAGGGAATTCTTTGCTCGATTATGTGTGCCCTTTCAATGTCCACTATTTTTTAGTACCACAAGTAGCTAGAAAAATTCCCGTGAACAAAATGAAAGAGGCATACAATGCCTATAACGCTGCTATTGAGGAAAAAATGCTCCTTTGCTTTTAAATTTTAGATCTTTTATATGGATTTTACAGCTTCTTTGTCTTCTTTCTTCCTCCTAACAGATCTTCTGGTAATGTTGAGAGCCACTGCCACTGTTTTTGATTAATGACTAATGATAATGGGCGGACAGTTCACTATTATGCTTTTATGTATTGGACAAGAACCTGAATTCATATCTTAAGAAAATGGGGGGGGGGTAAATTTCTCCTTTGCAAAAATGCAAGACTTTACACTATGCTTTTAATTTATAAAATTGATGTTACACATACATGTAACTCTTATTATAATAATAAATAATAAATAGCATTTGTATAGCGCATATCCCCGCTCAACAGCAGACTCTATGCGCTTTACACTATATTATTACCCCAGCAGACAATAAAACACTCTGAATCATTCTCAGCTTCCTGGGAAGCATACAGTGCAAGCAGCTGATTAAGCGCTCAAACACTAACAAACTGACAAGATCTTTCGCTGTCTATAGCCGGGTACACATTCCCACCTGGGTGAAGTGAGGAAAAATTCGTGTAAAGTGCCTTTCCCAAGGACACAACATCGGGACCCTGACGGGATTCAAACCCACGACATTACGGTTGCGAGTCCAAGAGCCTAACCACTATATTATTCTATTGGTCAATGATATACTCATGATGAACTTCTAGTTTTTCTTTTTTCCTTTTTTTTTTTCTTAAAGAACATTGGTAATGTAAAGTCTTTGGCAAACAAATGTGTATATGCCTCCTCCTGACTGCAACACAATTTTTTAAAATTTTGTCATTTTGTCCTGTTCTCTACATGATGTATATGGCAATAAATCAATTTAAATCGTGTCCATTAACATACTTAGAAATCTTTACATTTGTCACATAGAAGTGTGCTTGAATTGTAGTGAATGCAGAAAAGTGAGTATGAAGGGTTTGAAGAGGGTGACTTGGCCAGTGCCTATAATTTTGACCTGCTGTGTGGGTAAAGTCTGTTTTTTGGTTTGAAAAGTTGGCAACTATGCTTTTTATCCAAGTGCTCTGTTGTATGCATGGAGTCTTACTTTCAATAAGCAGATATTGTTTCAGTAAATTCTTCTTTTGTATCTGATTCAATTGATTTTATTAATTAACAACATTTTTCTTTTGGTCTTTAGGTGTGGACATGCCAAACAAAGAAGAAGTTCCGAGGAAAAAGCCTGTCTATGGGAAAAAGAAAAAAACCCAGAGTAAGTGAAAGGGGCTCTTCAGGCTGAGATGTTGCCGGTGTTTCATTGGTCAGGGACTTGGGACGTATGCAGGGCTGCCTAAATATGCTGATTTTTTTGGTAGTTATCGATTTTGGGCCTGTTCTACCGCCATACCTATACAGTAGTCTCCGCCTAAGATCCCACCGCTTACGATCCCGGTTCGCTTAAGATCCCGCTGTTTTAAGAAAACAGAATTTTTACTATACAAAAGTCACCCCTAAGATCCCGCTCTGATTCACTCTGAAGGTCTACATGCGGCTAAGGTCCCGCATTTCAGATCTTAATTTGAGGAACAAAAACGCGGGCGGGACAGCCAATCAACCAATAGTGAAAAGTTGAGATGAATAAACTGTCTGTCGCGTCGAAGATCAGCCACTATCGTGAATGTGATCACATACACGTTGTAAAACTCTATGAAACGATACAATGTTTGCCCCAGACGGGATCACACCGGGGTGGGAACTGACCGACACGTTTGTTTTCCCGGAACATCGCACTCGCACCTGAGCTTTCCCCCTAAGCTTACATCACTCGCTGGGTGGGAAGGGCCTACACGCTCGCTCCAGGTGGGATCACATTGAACTGTGAACTCTTCCCTGACCATTGCAGAAGTTGTCTCTACTCCCGAATTTGCGAGACAGACGGGGGAGGGGGGGGGAAGGGGGGGCTCGGTCAGAGATGGAAAGCTATAAATTTTCGACAGGTAAGGGGGAGGGGCAACTGGATAAGTGTAGATTTTGAGACTCATGATAGGATAATAAGTGAAAATGGCATGTTTCATCCCACTATATACTGTGATAGGTCTTCGAGGTTAACCACTCTTTGCTCGCCATACGTCATAAACCCACCCAGCGGTCACGTCAGTTCATTTTAGAGTGGAAGGAGACCATTTTATCAATTGTGAGCCTTGGCATGGGTCACCATAGATTCTTCCCTGGGTTCGTCGGTTGAGATCCCGGTTCGCCTAAGATCCCGCATTTCCTTGCTCCCAAGCACCAGGATCTAAGGTGGAGACTACTGTACTGGTGTCAAAATTACCGGATTTGAGGTGGGTGCAGAAAGTAGGAAAAAAAACCCCGCGTTCTCCGTACAGTCCGTAAGTTTAGTACTAGCCGCATCGTCATATCAACTCCATGCGTTAAAGAGAGAAACAGGCAGACAGACAGTACAATGATTTAGCTTATCGGCATTCCGGAGCAAAGGGTCAGAAATTGCCTCCGTAATTTCTCGGACATTACCGGTAACTCTTGGCAGCAGTATTAGAAACTGCTAGATTGCGCATTTCGTACACTCGACCATTGTCTCTCTGTGCGGCTCGGTCGGCAATAGTTTTTCTTGTGCATAATTATATCGGCTAAAATCTGGCCACTCATGATAGATAATCTTCCTCCTTCCTTTCTTTCATTCATTCTTTTTGTCTATCTTCGGGTTTTCGCTGCAGCTGGAAAAATCTATGTTTATCTAGAAAACTGAATTTTTGTGAATGTAGAAAGAAAATGAGTATCAGAGCAATACCTTCTCAAATATGTCTCAGTCTAGAGAATTGGTCAGTACCATTATGAGGATTCTACGCAGGTTAAATGCCAGGCCCCGGGGGCCCAGGGAATTACCCGGGAATCTGAAAAAAGTCGCAGACCCAGGAAAGTGCACAAAGTCCCCGAAACCAAATCTGAAAAGGCCATTGAGTTCATATTTTACCGGTTGCGTTCGTATATATTACGTTCGTCTTTGCCCGGTCCGAGAGTACGCTTCACATGAATAAGCAGCTGTGGTGGCAGGCTGAAGTGTAGTTCAAAGTAGGAGCATTGCAGAGCTTCAGAATTTAGGGGGGGGGGGGTGAAAGGGGTGCTTGACGCAGCAGGATAAGGCCGTGGTACAAGAAAAAACAACTGAAAGCTATGCTGAAAGAAAAAAAAGAGAAAAACCCCCATCTTTTTTAAAGATGTTTTTGAACTTACTGGAGGATAAGGTCTGAAAACTATTTTTTATGATTAGATGATGTGCGGCATACAGACCTGCCACTCATCCCGATTTAATCGGGATATCCCGATTTTTTTGCCCCAAATCTCAAGCATCCCAATTTTCCCGATTTCGATCGCCAGTATCCTGATTTTTTGTCGTTGCGTCTGTTGCGACTGATTCTTAGAAAAAAATATAAGAAGTTCTGCAATCTCTTTTGGTTGGAAGCACTGGTTGGATTTTTTATCGGCAGGAACTTGGAACGCTACTTTCTAAGACATCTATGCCGAATCTAGTTGTTGACTCACGCACGTTATTTCAACTAAAATCGACCGTTGTTCTGCCGTTGCTTTAAAAGCAAGCTTCGTCTGAGTTCTGGTTAGCCGGGCCCATCATCAAGACCTGTCAGTGGAACTTTCAAACGCTCATTCGCATCACGTGACATGACCTCGTACGTGTGAGTAGCGCGTGTTTTGGGGACCGTCGGCTGTCGGGGTCAACAAAGTTCATTCACACCGGTGGCATTAGTCGAGATGTTTTTCGGGACTTAACCAGTGTGGACGACCGGGGGGGGGGAGGGGGTGGGGGTATTGTTTTGACACTTGGGCTTAAAGTGCATGCCGTGATACACGTACTGATTGAGGATAAAGGAATAATTTTTTAAAAAGAAATAAATGAAAAACCTTGGCGCAATCTTTTTTTTTCGGTGGGGGGTGGCTTGAAGTCAAACGTTGTTACTATATGAAAAAGCGGGCTTTTTGCATGGATGATTAGAGTTATGTGTCAGCTATTTTCAAGACTACGAGAGTTTCAGCTTTACTGCAACCTGCACTCCCTCGGTCTATCCGACTCAGACTCGAGTAATGCTGTCTTTCAGTTTGCCCTCTATTTAGAGGCCCAAACTTGAACTTATTCCTGCAAAAGATTTCTCTTGCATACTTGCCTCATAAAAGGGAACCCTTCCCCAGTACCCCTTATGACTGATTTGCCGTTGATCCCGATTTTTTTCACCAGATCCTGATTTTTTAACTCTAAAATCCTGATTTTTAGATTTCATAGAGTGGCAGGTCTGGGCATAGCGCCCCTAGTTTGGCAGTCACCCTGCACTCAATTCCCCACTCAATACTGAATGATAGGTGTCTTAACGATAGTCCATAAAAAGCAAATACAAAACAAAAAAAATAAACTCACCTCATTTTTAGAGGCTGCAAGTTCAGCGATCGGTGTAAGAGAACCAATTCCCGATTGAGCCATTTTTTAAAATGCTTAGTCATCGTGTCTGTCGGCCTTGTGGACTGTTTTGAGCAAGGAAAAGTTACTTTTCTTGTGGGTGCTCTTTCAGAGTTGGGCTTTTCTTTCTGCCGGAAAAGGTTTTCTTTTTTTGACAAATGCTGTTTCACAGTTTGACTTTTCTGTCTCCTGGAAAAGTTTTTTGATTTGAACTATTCGTATGTTTCATTGTAACTGTGATTGGTGTGTGTAGATTTGGAGGTAGATCTAGTCTAGATATATCTAAGTTCTTTGTCTTGAAAAGGTGTCTGAGCACATTGTTTCTCAGCGTGATGCTCTGAGTAGCATTGAGTGTGAAAAATAAATTCAAGTGGACATGGCTAGAAGAAAGAGATAGCAACGGAGACCTTCTGTCAGAATACATTAAGAAAATCATACCGCTTGGCATGATCTCCAGTGCTGATAAGCCCCAGCCCCAGACACTTTGTCTCAAATGGTATAGCTGTAGAATCCTGTCACCAAGTTACACAATCCTGTGGATCTCAATATCTGAGTGACAGGGATGCCGTTTTTACGTTATTTCAGTTTTTTTCCATTAATTTGGGCATCGTCCGTTCTTAAATCTATTTTCTGTTCATCGAATCCGTTCTCCAGTAACATGTTTTTGCGGGAAGCCGATTTTCAGTTTTGTTCCATTTATGTATGGAGTGGCACAAGGATCCATATTTCTATTCAACGGAATCAAAATGATCCCCCCAATGTTAAGGTCCGATTTCAAATGAATGCCAGTCCTAGTCTTGCCCACTCAGTCTCGCGCTTGCATTTATTGCTTCATCGCATGCTAAATCTAGTCTCGAAAAGTTCTGTCGTGTGTGTCTCACATGTAGACTTTCTCTGTTGTTTTCATTCCTTTTATTCTGTATCATCAGCAAATGCTGCCAATGATGAGCAACAAGAAAAGTCCCCGTCTCCGGAAACTCCTACCTCTCCTGTGCAGCCAGAACTAGTCTCTAGTGAACAAGAATCAACCAAAGAGGAAGCTTTGGAGGAGTCCAAGAAAAATGTTGTGGTAAAAAAAGAGGAGGTCAAAGAGGCATGGGATGCTGAAAGTGAGGAAGAAGAAGATGATGATGAGGAGGATCAGGAAGAAGGCAAGTAGTTGACCCAAGGGCTTGAAATGTTTCAGTTGTGTGGTGGGTTTTACTTAACTCTCTCAAGTTTGCCATTTTTTGGGAGAACAGTGTTTTATTCACAACCTCTTCAGATCTTTGCCCTGGTGTGAGTAAGTCTTGTAGCCTACTATGCCCAGGCTTATTATGTATCAATGTAAAGGAAGTTGAATGTAGAATACAGTGAAATGACAAAAATTAATTTTTTTTCATGTCTGCTTTGAGCAGTGACCTACTTGAACTGTTACTAAAAATAGATGATGAACCCAATTTCACATAAAATTGACAAACATAAAGAAGGGGGAAAAAATATGATCAGATTGACCCAAAATTTATTGATATTTGAAAAGAATGTCCATTTCTGCTCAAGACAAACAAAGAATAAATAATTTTGGACCCATATGAACACTTTGGTGGCACATGGAAAATGACATGTATTTTGGTGATGATTGTTACCAAAAATAAAATTTTCACAAAATTCTCTGATTGCACCCATTATGCCAACATTAGCTTATGATATTTCTACAAAAACATTAAAATCACATTGTTTATCAATAAAATAAGGGAATTAATCTTTCAAAAGGTTTATAAACTAAGTGTGATGCTAGACAAATTAAAACTTGAGTTGAAAATAGAAGTGAAAATATGTCGCACATACTCGTATTTCCACCAAGAGCTATGTCATTGATTACAAAAACATCTCTCATACTCATCGACTGGATAATCTAAATGAAGACAGTTTCTTGTCAGATATTCCCGCACGTTTTGTTTGGTTCGGTCCTCGTTGAGATGCAGGCCTGGTGGCAGCGCCAGCTTTGACTTGAGTACCTCGATGTCCGGTACATTGTCTGCATCCTGATGTGAACCAATGAAGTTACCCCTGTCAGAAAATGCACAGGAACAAGGCATGTTAGAACAAGTGCAGCAAGATTTTTTTTTTCACAACTCCAATCATACCAGTCTCCAATTGTCAGACTCAGTTTACAAAAATGACAAGTACAACTCACCTGAGCTGAGGCCACATAGATCTAAATAAATTATTCCCCTGTTCACACAAGTATTAAAAATTGATGGAATATTTAAATTGAAACAAATAATAACAAACTGCGGTAGATAGCAAACGTTTTCAATCAGTAGAAAGGGAATCGTCTCAGAATCCACCATTTTGAACGTAAACAAGCAGCTAGTTGCCGCAGTTTGTGTACCAAAAACCCCCCAAAAAGTAATAAAAAAAGAGAAAAACTGATCAATTCTAACCAATTTCATAAGAAAACATCACATTTTAATAATTTATACAATAAAACGCTCGTTTTAGCACCCACGGGCGAATATTAAGCATCGATGGGTCTAGCTGTTCATAGATGCTCAGTGCAATCATCAGTTACCCGTTGGCTGGTGCAGGACTTGCTACATCGTTGTCAGACTCTGAATCTGATTCAGTCTCTGTTGTCGATAGAACACTCACTAAATGAGTGATCCAGGCCATAATCGGCGGGTCAGAATCAGAGATTTCACTGGAAAACTTGTTCAGTTTGGTGCAGACAGTCAAAATTAGTCGAATAGCTGATTCTTTGTTTTCAAAATGACGACGAAGGAAACGAAAGTAGTTGGGAAATTGAGGTAATTATCTGGGCCCCTCTAACAGCTAACTCTTTCGAAAAAGGAGTCATATATTGTGTTTTTATAAAAGCTTAGCTATTCCTTTACCGAAACAAACAACATAACGGACTGTAGGCAAAATATTATAGCCACTGCAGGCTTTGTTTTGGGCCCATTGGCGATCGATATGGGCGTGAACTCTAGAGAGTTAAAAGGGATTTGTGTTTTTTTTGGCAGTTTCCACTGAAATTAATATTTAGGTTGATTCTTAGACTGCCGGCTTATCATGCACACCTCAATCCCGTTGAACTAGTTTGAGCAATGATAAAAAATATTGTGGCTACCAGAAACAGCCTTCAAACTACGTGACATTAAAGTTTTGACAGCACAAGTCACTGACAAAGTGGACAACGAATATTTGGAAAATGTGTTGATTATGTTGTCAAAGAAGAAGAAAATTACTAGAAGAGACACGGGCTTGGATTTTATCCAGCTGTCACTAATTATTGACCCGTTTGAGATATCAGATTCAGAATATGAAGCATAGAGCATGGATCGATTTTTGATCGTGGGTGAGCCATTTTATTTTTTCAGTATTCATTTTAAGTATTTTACATCCCAAATTTGGTGGTCAACAGTTAATTAGGAAAACCCTGGCTTAGCAGTATTATCATGAAATGTGTTTTCACTCTTGAGTAAGTACCCAGCTAGATTTTCAGTTTTAGTTTTAGTAGAAGTTTTACGGCGCTCGCAACTGCATAAGATCATAGCACTCATAAGCACTCTTTTGTTTTTGCTTACCACTGGGTACCTGTAATTTTTGACAATGTGTACAAGTCTTGTCTTGTAGATTCAAAAGCAATCAAAACTAGATTATCCCATCACAAGTATTTAGCGTGTTCGCCTCTGAATTTTCTGGAGAGTGGTGAGGGCTCGTCCACTCAAGTTGTAACATTTCCCCTACGTTAATTAGTGGTCTTTCAATATAAAAGTGTGGTTTTGATGAAAATAGGTCAACTTTGTAATGGTTTATGTGTATACTGTAAATTTCCTATAATTTTTTTACCCGTCTTTGACTAACACCAAAGAATGTGTGTCAGAACCTTAGTTTGCAGTGACTTTCATTAATGTGCTTTTAAATTCTGTTGGGCTCTTAACTTTTAGACCTGCATGCAAAGACCCAGAAAGATTAACAGAACGATTTCTTTTTTTCCCGTTTTAACCGCGGTCAGACAAAAGTGAACGAACTATAATTCGCAATATTTTCAAGTTTATTATATTATATCTTGCTTCTTTGCTGTTTAACAGAGTCAAAATCAGAGCAAAAAGCGCAAGTGTCTCAGTCCTCAAAGGAACCACAGAAGAAAGAGGAAGAAGAAGAGGATGAAAGTGAAGAGGAAGAGGATGAAGATGATGATGAGGAGGATGATGATGAGGAAGATGAGAGCAGCGAAGAGGAAACTGAGTCTGAGGAGGAAGGCTTGACCCCAGCGGAACGGGGTCGAGAGAAAGTTTTGGTCAGTATAATTTGTTTATTTTTATATTTTTCATTGCTCAGCTATACTCAGAGGACTAGAATTTTCTCCCCTTACCTTCTGAACTCCTTTATCCCAACTCTACAGCACCCATGCACCTAAACCCCAGGTCTGAAGGGTTAATGAAATCTACGTTACCGACATAGTTCATGTTTTTTTTAATAGAATACTTAGATATTGCTCTTTGTCTTTCTAAAATCTCTGTTTATGTGTTGGAATCTGGGGGGTGTTGTAGATTACTTGATGGCTGTTCTGCTATGACCTACTTCTAATTCTTTCCAGTATTTCAAATCTCTTAATTTACTCATGGTGAACTATGGACGTTTTATTTCTGACTCATTGTGTTCTACAACTCGACTACATCACAATAACTTTTGAGGGTTTGCGGTACATTTTGGGCATTTCAGATGCCTTGAGAGTTTGTTTTGCGGAGGGGGGGGGGGGGGGGGGGGACGACAGTTTCTATTGTTTTCTTCTCCAATTCTTTCAAAAATGGATCACAGATTAGAATTAATTTTTATCTTTTGCCTTTTTCTTTAAAAAAAAAAGTAGCAGTTTTCCTGCTCATTTAGAAGAGAGTTCATCTCATCATTGTAACAAATTCAATACAATTATTTGATCCAGATTTGGGCAGACCATAAGAAATCATAATTGAAATGTTCTTGCTCTTGCTAAAAAAAAGTCATCAATAAAAATGGAACATGTGAACCTGTTTCAGCCCGACAGGCAGTGTTGAAGCCTTCATCCTTTATGCAAAATCTGTCTTAATGGGAGTGTAAAACACTTACATTTATTTTTTAAAAAGACGTTTATTGGAGGTTCTGTAAACTGAATACGCATCAAAATGTGTAGGGTACCTGTGTGGTCCCGAGTCTGCTTGCCAAGGGATGACTGGTCACAATTGTATGTAATTGAGAGTGATGCGTTCACCTTCCCTCAGAACAGGGCTCTGCATTGTGCAATTAGAAATGATGTATTTTAATTCAATTAGTTTGCTTTGGATTTTCATAAAATATATGTAGTGAATGTTTGTTGTTGGCCACAGTAACAGTAAGCAATAATGGTCTCTTCTTTTTTTTTTGCTTTAAAAAATGCACATAACTTTTCTTTTGTATTTGTTTGTTGTCATCAGAAACGTGCTGAGAAGGCAGAGAAAGACAAAAGCTTGTCTGAACTGAGAGCTCCTGTTGTGTGTGTTCTTGGCCACGTTGACACAGGGAAAACCAAAATTTTAGACAAGGTGACTAGTTTAGCTGTTATCATATGGTTTATATTTGTTCACATTTTGGAAACTGACTGGTCTCAGCAGTTTTGACGCAAGTTCCTTACAGTTCTGGAAAATTTGACGAATAAAAGAAATTAAAACCAAAAATTTATGATGATTTGGCAAAGAGAAAGGAGTACATTTTCTGTAAAAAAGATATTTGAAAACTTGGAAGAAGTTGAGCTGATACAAAAATATTGATTTTTCAAGTTTTTCTTCTGTATATGGATTGTCTGAACACATTGAGCCAATTCTTGAACTGGCAAAATGAGTAGAAAAGGTGTTACGATAAGTATGAAGAGGCTAAGGGTCTTCAATTTTCTTAACCCTGGTCCTGTGGGGGCCAATGTTTCCCGATAAGCCTATTTCGGCACATCACCTTCATTCCGGTCCCATGTCAGTCCAGCCCCTGGCTCAGCGCACGCGCACCGAGCATCATCCCGTTCCGCCCGGGTCCGGCATTCGCGCAGCTCAAGTGTGTGTGCGTGAGTCTGCTTGAGTTTGTGTGCGTTTGTGGCCCACTTCTAGAACTGCCTGCGTCGGTTCGTGACCGTCTCATTTAAAACATGCCAAGTTGGTAGCTCTAGATGTTTGTCCAATGAAATTAGAACAAATTGACCCACTCAGACATGAGGAGCTCGAAAGGGTAGTCAAGAAACAAGACTTCCGTTTTTCTATTCAAAATCTTTCAAATGAGCTTGATTTTGTATGAAATGATACTACCTGATAAAAATAAGCTTATTTGATTGTTTTGAACAGGGGCGGCTCGTGGGGCTAAAAAGTGGACGTGCACACTTAACCCTCATCCTGCGGGAGCCGGGTTTATGTAGCCCGATAAGCCTATTTCGGCACCTCGCCTGCGTTCTGGTCCTGAATCTGTGTAGCCCCTGGCTCAGCGCACGCGCAGCGCGCATCCTCTTACGTGTCATTCGTGTCCCGAGTCGGATCCCCATTCACGCAGGTCAAGTGTGTGTGCGTCAGTCTGCTTGAGTTTGTGTGCGTTTGTGGCCTTCTTCTAGAACCGCCTGCGTTGGTTCGTAATCGAGGCATACGTCTCATTCAAAACATGCCAAGTTGGTAGCTCTAGATGTTCGTCCAATGAAATTATAGAAGAAATTGACCCACTTAGACATGAGGAGCTCGAAAGGATAGTCAGGAAACAAGACTTCCAATTTTCTATACAAAATATTTCAAATGAGCTTGATTTTGTATGAAATGATACTACCTGATAAGAATAAGCTTGTTTGATAGTTTTGAATACTCTTGTGCAGGTACAAAGAACAATTTGAGTGTAAAACATTCGGAAATTGACCTAAATTATCCCCTTTCGAACCTCAGGTCATTCATAACAACAAGAGTGTCCAGAAAGGTTATTCGAATGGGCGTAACTACTTGTAATGTCTTATCAGCTTGTGAGAGGGGGTTATTCATGTGTTTGTAACACTTTATAAATAGAAAGCTATGAAGGATAGAGCGTTATTTTCATCATCGGTTAACACACTCCCGCGGTATTCATGGCGAAAACACGTTTCCCGGCGCGCGCGCTGTACACCAACAGTACACACTGAGTGACCCCGGGGGCCTCCCCGGCACGTCCGACGTAATCGGTTGCTGATAAGATACGCATCTGGGCACAGCGCAGGATAAGAGTTAAGCTATCGCATGCTGAGGAAAGTCAAGGGCGTAGTAGAAACGGTGTATAATTTTAGGATCTTTGGGTTGGTGAGGGAGGACCTCATGCTTTTATTTTCATTCTTTTTTTTTGTCTCTTTGATTTCTAGTACTAAATTTGTTTGTTAGCTAAACATCAATTTCGTTCATCCTGTATGAGAACTGAACACTTAAGTAATAGCTTTCACTAGATCTACTCCACTACAAAACCATTCAAAGGCACAACTCATAGGACGGTCACGTTCACCTCCTTCAGGTTCACGGTCACAGAGTCACTTAAAATAGTGGCAAGACAGACAGTGAACCGATCACAATTCACTAAGGCACCCCGCTGGATTGCTCCGGGGCTCTCATAATATTGGCAAAGAATAGTGTACGGTCTATCGCGTTTATTTTTAGAGTGCCTACTGTGGGCTATGTTTCGGCACTATTCGGCAGGAGCACATTTGAGATGGGCCAGCTTATTAATATTAATGTACCGCCAAACTCACTACGAGTGTCGTCGTCGCTTGGGTTATCCCCAACAGCGATTTATAGGTCAGGTTACACTGTTGAATATCCTATTATGTTTAGCTAAAGCCGTGGACTTTGGCATGGCAAAGTAGATGTTTTACGGCGCTGTAGACACAGAAATGACAGTTATGGCGTCAGTGAGGACCTTGTTTTGATATAATATTTGGCTAGTGTTTGTTCTTGCTTCTTTTATTTTATTATTATGGGTGTTTTATGTAACAGAACATTAAAAAATTTTGGGCGGCACTGTACGACAGTGCTCTGTGGACGAACCGCGCCTAGTTTTGAATGCCATTATGCCGGTAAAAAGAACAATTTGAGAGCAAAACTTTCAGAAATTGACGTTTATTATCCCCTTTTGAACCCCAGATCATTCATAACAACAAGAGCGTCTAAAAGGGTTATTCGAATGAGGGATACAGCTTATCTGCTTATGAGAGGGGGTGTTATTCATGTCTTTGTAACACTTTATAAATAGGAAGCTATAAAAGATAGAGCGTTATTTTCATCATCGATTAACACACTCCCACGGTATTCATGGCGAAAGCACACGTTTCCAGGCCCGCTCATTGTACACCAACAGTACACGCTGAGTGACTCCGGCGGCCCGCCCGGAACGTCCGATGTAAGAGGTTGCTGATAAGATTCGCATCTCAGCGCAAGATTTAGGACAAGAGTTAACGCTGACACAAAATACCCCTTATCAGCATGTTTAGTACCAGTATTTGCTGCCAAAATTGCCCTGCAAGTCATGCACACATTTGTTTTTTTCATTTTCTCAAAGTGTAACATTTTTGGGAATGGGGTTACAATAATTATGATTTTTCAAGTTTTAATCTCTTCAAAACATTGCATGCTTATTTTTAAGTGTTTGTGCTCCCAACATCAGAGGGATTTGTCAGCACAATAATTGTATTTGTGAGAGATTTTCAGGGTTTTTGTAGATGGAGCAGGATTTTTCTCGGCTATAATGTAATACCTTCTTCCACTCATGTGCCTGTCATTAATTTGTTTATTAAAATACACAAAATCCTTTGTGTAGTTAGTAAGTTAACTATGTTCTTTGAAATATAATGAGCTTTCTTTTGTTACTGCCTTTGTAGTTGAGGAGGACGAATGTTCAAGATGGAGAAGCAGGAGGTATTACGCAGCAAATTGGGGCTACAAATGTACCCAAAGATGCTATCCAGGAAAAAACCAAGATGTGCAAAGAGGTAAATTGTTTGCTTTTTAACTCTCTCGGGTTCGCCACTTTTGAGAAAATTGTGTTGATTCACAACCTCTTCAGATTTTTGCCTTGGTGTGAGTAAGTCTTGTACTATACCCAGCCTTATTATGTATCTATGTAAAGGAAATTGAATGTAGAATACAGTAAAATGATAACAATTAATTTTTTTTATGTCTGCTTTCAGTGGTGACCTACTTTAACTGTTACTAAAAATAGATTGCGCACACAATTTTACATGAAACTGACAAACATAAAGAAGGGGGAAAAAAAGTATGATCAGATTGACCCAAAATTTATTGATATTCTAAAAGAATGTCCATTTCTGCTCATGACAGACAAATAATGAATAATTTAGGACCCATATGAAACTTTGGTGGCACAAGGAAAATTACATGTATTTTGGTGATAATTGTTATCGAAAATAGAATTTTCACAAAATTCTCTGATTACTCCCATTGTGCAAAGATTAGGCTATGACATTTCTACAAAAACATTCAAATCACATTATTTGACAAGAAAAGAAGATAATTCATCATCTAAAAGGTTTATAAACCTACTGTGATGCTAGTGACGAAAACATATGTGCGTATATTTCCACCCAGAGTATGTCATTGAATACAAAAAACATCACTCATACTCATTAGCTGGATGATCTAAAAGAAGACAGTTTCTTGTGCTACTAAAACAGAAGTTTTTCCACACTTGTTACATTTGACACTAGAAACTTTCTCAAGACGATAACAACGAAAACAATTTCTGCGCTAGAGATGGACGAGTCTCTTTCATTCCTGCAAGGGTGGCCTACTCATAGGTGTATGTGCAGATCTGCAACACAAATGCCTCCATTCGAAAGAGTGAAGAAAGCACCTGTTGGAAAATAGATACACAAGAAAGAATTGTTGATAAAAGCCATCCATGATAAAAGATATTTATATATGATAAATAAAATTGGATGGATGCACGAGAGAAATTTTAGGTGGATATATAGGCTATACCAGTACATCAACATACAACATTCAGCAACAACACAGCAAAGTACACATTACAAATTATACAACGCTCGCACCAATGCACCATTCAATCAGACAAATGTACACACACAGTACATCTGTGCGGGATGAACCCTTCTCTCCGTCTCACTCATTCTTTTACCCTCTCTTCTGCCCCCCCCCCCCCCCTCTGTTTCTCTCTTCCTCTCATGCAAGAGCACACACACACACACACAAATACACACACACACACAAATACACACACACACACACACTAACTCTCACACACACACACACACAGTGTTCAACAGTGCAACAGTTAATTTTGAACATAACAGACATCCCAATTTGTCCGTAAATTCTTGTTATAGCTAAAGTAAATGAATAGTCAAGCAAAGCATGCATATGAATTGTTTCATTATTTGAGAAAAAAAAGCCTGGGCATTAGCAATATCTACTGATTTTTTATAGTCTTGTAAAAAATAATGATTATAAAAATGCAAATCGACTGGGGAAGAAATTCACCTGGTGTCAGATATTTTCGCATTTTGTTTGGTCCGGTCCTCATCGAGATGCAGGCTTGGCCGCAGCGTCGGCTTGAACTTAGGTACCTTGCATCGTCCGCTTCACGTTACAAACCAATGAAGTCACCCCTGTCCGAAAATGCACAGGAACAAGGCATGTTAGAACAAGTCCAGCAAGACTTTTTTTTCCACCACTCCAATCATACCACTCTCCAATTGTCAGACTCAGTTTACAAAAATGACAACTCGCAACTCACCTGAGCTGAGGCCACATAGACTCTAGATCTAAATAAATTATTCCCTTGTTCACATAAAAATAAAAAATTGATGATACATTTAAATTGAAACAAATAATAACAAACTGCAGTAGATAGCAAACGTTATCAATCAGTTGTAATGTTGTCAACTAAGAGAATCGTCTCAGGATCCGCCATTTTGAACGTAAACAAGCAGCTAGCAACCGCACCTTGGGTACAAAAAAATGCCCAAAAAATAATAAAAGCGAGAAAAACTTATCAATTCTAACCAATTTCATAAGAAAACACCAAATTTTAATCATTTATACAATAAAACACCCATTTTAGTACCCCCCGGGCCAATATTAGGTTTCGATAGGTCTAGCTGTTCATAGATGCTCAGTGCAATCATCACTTACCCGTTGGCAGCACCACTTGGTCCTGGTTGAGGACTTGCTACGTCATTGTCAGACTCTTTATCTGATTCAGAGTCTCTGTCATCGATAGAAAACTCACTAAATGAGTCCTCGAGACCAGAATCGGGGTCAGAATCGGACATTTTACTTGAAAACTTGTTCGTTTTTTGTGAAGACAGTCGAGCAGCTGTTCTTTGTTTACAAAATGGAGGCGAAGGAAACGAAAGTAGTTGGGAAATTGAGGTCATTATCCGGGCACCTCTAACGGCTAACTCTTTCGAAAAAGGAGTTACAAATTGTGTATTTATAAAAGTTTAGCCATTCCTTTACCGAAATAAACCACATAGCAGACTCTAGGCAAATTATTATAGCGACAGCCGGCTTCGCTCTGGGCCCACCGGCGATCGACCGGTCGATATACAAGGGCGTGAACTCGAGAGAGTTAATTTTTTTACTTGGGGATGTAGAGGGAGCTCATTTTGAAATCCCATTTTTTAAAATAGGTATATAATTTCTTTTAAAAAATAAATACTTAGGTCTGGTGAAGAAATTGACTGTATAGCTTTCATTGAAATGCCAGCATCTTGAATTTTAAATTTTAGTAGAACATCCAATAACTCTTGCAGTTTAAGAACCGCAATCATGGTGCTTGCTTAAAAACTGCTTCTCAAAAGCAGGATATTACACCCTCATTTTCTCATCCAAAAAGGAACTCAGTCTAACTCGTCATGGACAGACCTGCTGACCTTCCCGATTTTGTCGGGAATTTCCCAAATGAGATGCACTGCTTGCAACTTCCTGATAACAGTTTTGATTTCCCAATTTCGGAGCCGCGCTATGTTACAATATTATTGCAATTATTTGCGCGAAAATGACAAATGAAAGCGACGATACTGGAACTTAGTGTTACTAAAATATCCAGATATGAGTCCTTCACTGTTTGACGGTTCGGCTTCATATATTGCTCAAGTAAACCTGGCAACAGAACTTGTGCACTACTTTTACTTGATCCTAACTCGGTGTTGCCTCGTTGGCCATAAATACGGAGATCTTCTGTATTATTTGTGAGACTTGCGTTGGCGGATAGCTCAATATTGGGCCACGGTTTTTTGTGGTCTTGTATGAATCTGAGTGTGACAGGAATATGACCTGGCACACAGCGCCGTGTTGTTTTTCCCTATTTTGCATTTTCAAAATTTGGCAGGCCTGTCATGGAGAAATTGGTTATCTTAGATAGGTGGCTTCTTGGACATGGTCATTATAATATCGAAAAAAATGCAAGGGGTAAAGTGGGAGTTGTTCGTTTGTACTAGTCACTGTCTTAGACAGGTGGTCGGTAGAGCAGGTTCAACTGTATTGATAAAAGTCTGGACTTTTCTTTTGTTGCACAAAGTATCCTTTCGTGAAACAGCATGCGATATGTGCATTTGGTTCATTCTTTGTGAAGAAAGAAATGAAATAACTGACACCAAGGGAAATGGGTTTATTTTCAACAAAAAATAGTTCTTCTTGCAAAACTTGTTATGTGTCTGTCACGTAATGTGTAAGACTTCATTAGAAATATACGCAAAAAGTTGTCTCTTACCGCATTTAGAATTGTGCAATTCTCCTGAAAACTGATACCATAGGCATCAACTTTTAGATTTCGGCCAAACATCTTTGGCCTGTCTGGTTGTGATACCCATGGAGCTGGTGGAAGAGCTTGTTTGGCTTCTTTGAAAACCTAAATAATATTAGACTAGAGTAATGGGATAAAATAATATTGTTAAATTATGAAAATAACAAAAGCAGACTGGGAAAGAATTGTGTCTTTTTTTATTTATTGCTTATTCACACAAATGTAAATTAGTCTTTTAGGAAATAATCTTCAAAACCTCCGAAAACTGAAATACCTAGTAAGATACTCCTTTGATTTTATGCAGTGGCGTCCAAAAAAAACTTGACAATGATTCACCCTATCTTCTTGAATAAATTCTGCATCATCTGACACATTAATTATTCAACTATGGTAAGAGTTTCCCGAGATATGGTCATTCAGAACTGACCTTAAAAAATCATGCTTGGCAAAATTCTTTGAAACCAAAGAAATGTGAAAGTGTGTTTGCACTTGTATTGGAATGTATTAACATTGTTGGAATAGACATTTATTGCATATCAAAGGAATGGAACATTTTTATGTGTGTAATAAACAATATATTATTATGATAGTTTGTAACAGATTGGAAAACTGAGCCGTCACAAATACCATGCAAAACTTAGACTTAACATTACGTGTGCTCATTTGTATTCTACAAAAGGTATATTGGTTTTGGGTAGAAGAGAAACCATTTGAATGAGGACTGTGTTAAACTTTGGACATAATAATTTGTCATTTCATCCCAAATGTCACAGAGAGCTAAAATCAAAGCGTCTAAACAGGGAACAAAGTTGCGTTTCTTAAGCTGCTGTTTCATGGAGCTCCACATATCTGTTAGATTCATATCAGGGCTTTTTACTGATAACCACTCCGTCTTTGGTATAATTTGCTTTTCCACTAACTGTTTGAAGGCGTTGGCCCAATGAGAAGGTGCTTTGTCATGCATAAAGATGTGAACTTGAATGACACCATTACAAAAATAATGACATGACATTCCATCACTTGCGCGATGTAGTCATCTAAACAAAGCCGTCCCGTGATTCTCACAAGCCAGACCACCCCAAAGCATGACATTTTTGCAGTCTCTGTTCCTCATTGACAGATGATTATGTCCAAAATCTTAACAAATGCACTAATGCAGGCCAAGCTCAAAAAAGGTTAGTGCTCTACACGAAACCAAAAGCTCGTAAACAAAATACTCACAAGCACATTTAACCTTAAGTCCACATTTTGCGTGGTATTTGTGACTGCTAAATTTTCTGATTTGTATTAAAGTGTCGTTATAAATCATTTTTCATTTCAGAGACAACAGTATTCTCTATTTTTTTATATGCAATTCATGTCCATTCCACCAATGTTAAAAAACACTCGAATATAAGCGCAAACACACTTTTATGTTTCTTTGATTTCAAAGGATTTTGCCAAGCATGATTTTGAAAGATTAATTTTGAGTGATCATAACTCTGACGACTTTTATCGTAGATTAAAAATTGATCTGTCAGATTATGCATAATTTATTTAGCTTTCAATTGGTATGTTGCGTGAGCAGGTAGTGCAAGGCTTTTACATGATTATTGGGTGAATACTAAGAAATAGGGAAGACATTCAAGTAAAAGTAAATGAGACTTTATTGTGAACTTTTTAACACCTTCTCAGAATTGATAGTCAATGTATTGTTAAAAATGTTACCAGGACAAATCCATGTTCCTTTGTCCTTGCCAGCTTGTAACATTTCAGACAACCATGACAAAACTCATTTTCAGCTGCCTCCCATACCAGCTAAAAAGCCCCAAGTATGAGGCACCAAGGCATGAAGACTCTTAAATATATTTTTTGAAGCAGCCACTAATTTGTTTCTGGACAAAAACATAGGTCCAGTTCAAATTTCTATTTGGATGAAATTCAGCACTTTGTCCACTTTTTCTTTCACTCAACAAACGATATGAAAACTGTTTGATCGCTGTCATGCCATAGAACTGGGCTCATCCCTTTCGTAGAGGGGCTTTCACTTTTCACCAAAGAATCTTATAGTGGTAAAGCAGATTGGTAATTTAGGTCTTAATTCTTATTTGCTATCTTAACCATACATCGCTAAAATTTTGTGACAAAGTCATTCATACTTACTTTCCATGAGGGTTGCTGTCTTGCAAGGAATAGACAAATGCCGTACCTACAGATAGATTATGCAAACTGCCTTTACAAAGTCTTCTGGCTATCGGTAGGGTTCGATCTGAGTCGAAGTTAGCAAAGGCAGCACTTTGTTTTGATGTTACCCTCCAGTCTATTTTGACAAAGTCCACAGCGGTGTGGGTGGCGCCGCCTACGCAACAGGTGAACACCCCAACAAGCCGCTGAATCTGCGTGATTCAACAGCCCATTAGCCACTGGGCTGCAAAATGCCACTTGGGCGGTTGAATAACGTGGAAATTGGGGACTGGTGTGATATAGGCGATTGATTTACTGAAGGATTATAACACTTTGCAGTAATCTTTCAGACTCGGGATTTTAACATAAGGTGTATATTAAAAACTGTACTACATTTTTTGAAATTTTTTTCACTTTGGCAGTTGAATCACGTGGCTAGCGGTATCTATTTTTTAATTTGACCAATATTATAAAATAGAATTGGAGGACTGGATGAAAATGTGATTCTAATGTGAGGAGATGAAAATAACAATCTGTGTCATTCTGACGGACAAGGGTAAACGGAAATTACACAAAGTATGGCGTTTTGGCCAATAGGAGTTAAATATATGGGTCATGAATTCATTTATTGTTCTGAAAATTCCTTCTAAGGTCAATACTTAAGCTTCAGTATGAAATGGTGCAACTGCTAGTACTAGATTTATTGCAAGCATAAACAATTCTAAGAGAAATCTTATGAAAATAGTCTCTGGTGAATGTTACTTTTTCATACCTTATGTATACTGAATTTTTATCCCCCAAAAAGGCACACTGGTCAAGCTTTCTCTACAGTTCTATGGATACTTTATGCCCAGACTAGGAAAGTTATTTATTTGTTTGTTTTAGTAGAGGTTTTACGGCGCTCGCAACTGCATAAGGTCATATGAGCGCCAGAAGATTAGAGATGTTACAAGAGAGTAACAAACATAAAAAAGAAGAAGGGGAGATAAGGACGATAGATGTTTCATAGGAAAGAGGAAGCAGACCACACCAGAGCACCCGCCAACCACCCGCAAAGTTATTTATGATATTTGTATCAAATTTTTCAGGAGAATGCCCATATACCTTTAAACAAAGTAGATAATCTTTTGATGATTTGTTTGATTTTATTTTCCCAGTTTACAAAACAGGATCTTAACTTACCAGGTCTCTTGATCATAGATACCCCTGGCCATGAGTCTTTCAGGTAAGTCAATGTTTGTGTATTGTTTTTGTACCTTTTCCTATATGAGTGGGTGAATGGGTGTGTGTGTGTGTGTGCAGTGTGTGTGTGTGATGAAAAATTGAGCACCCCTGAAAAAGGATGGGAGTTGTTGCAACCGGACAGTGTTGTTTCGGAGGTCATTTGGAGCCAAATGTGTGGACTCTCGAGTGACAAGCTACCAGCCTCTTACAGAAATGTCTGATCTGATTGGGATATGTGTATATTGACCCATTCTCCCGGAGAGAAGACTCAAACGTCGCTGGCTGAACGTGGTTTCTGCGGAGAAACGACAGAGTCGTTTTTCGTATGGTTTTATTAAGTGGTTTCGACTGCTATTTCCAGCAGTATTTTGCGGCTTCCAAATGTATTTGTGTCAAGACCGCAAACTTCACTGCTAGTTCAGTTAATGGTCGGCTTTTTAAATTGAATTTTGCATGTTTTTCTTTAGTCTGAAGTGTCGATCGATATAAAGTAAGCCTGTTTGTTTCCAATGGCAACAATGGTCTTGGGCAACAGTTCATGCTAAAGGAAAACCAGTAAAACTTTTAGCTCGTTGACATGACTGATATAAGCTTTTCTATATGATTACATTGTCGGCGACGCTGTCTTAGACTTCATTAGTAATTTCCAACAATGAGAATAGCAGTGGCAATACTGACAACGGTGATGAAACTGACCAGACTTTGAGTGGGCATAGTACTCTATCAGGGATAGTAGGTGGATCAACCATTTATATATAACCTGCTCCCAAAGTCTAGGGACCCGTAGTGGTGAGATTGTGGGTTCGGGGGTTCAAACATCAGCTCGGTCCAATGTTGTGTCCTTGGAAAGGCTTTTTACCCGAATTTTCAGTTTGGCTTGGTCCTTTCGGCGACTGATGTTAAACTTTGAGGTCTCACCTCTTATCACTTTGCCCCCACGGGACGCCAATTGGTGACGGTAAGAAGCGGTCCCTTTTTCCCCCCAAGGACGCCGATCGGCGCGGTGTGATATGGCATGTACCGCATCTGTATCCTGCTCGCTGCGTTGGTGGAAAGTGTTAAAAAACCTAATAGTGATGATAGGGTCGTTAAATCGATACCCTTTCACCCAAAGTCTAGATCTAGTGCTAGCAGTGTTAACAAAGCTTTAGATCTATTGTTCATTGTTTCAGGAAGCAACATCCCTTCATTCTGGACATATCCAGTGATGCTCAGTTGCTCTCTCCAAAATGTCGCTGAAGGTCTTTCTACTGATTGTGCCAGTGCATATCTAGTTTTAATATTCTTCTGTTCTTTCCTGCAAGGATGCCAGATTTCCCGCTTCCTTTTTTTGTATTTCCAAAACCATACTCTCCACAGCAGTACTGGCTTCTGCCTCCTTTTCTTCCTCTACAATCAGGTGGCGAGAGAGATTTTTCAGGATCTGGACCTAGTCTGGTTGAACTGTGCTGTCAACTAAGGTGGCCTCACCAGCCAGTCTGTCGGCTTTTTCATTTCCCTTAACGCCTGCATGGCCAGGGCAGAAAATCTATGTGAGCGATCGTATTGGCGTTGCTTTGATCAGTTGAATCCATTCTGGTCTCAGGAAACCTTTTTCTATCCTTCTGAGGGTACATATGGAATCTTTGATGAGAACAGCATGGGTTGTGTGGGGGCGATCTTGGGTCATCCATTCAAGTGCTTTCGTGATTGCTTTAATTTCCATTCGCATGCTTGATGTAGCTGTGCTGCAGGCTCCAGATGTACTGTGGAGGATTTTATTGTTGATGAATGCAACAAATCCCCATCCACTTCACTGGCTATTTCTTTTCACTTAGCCATCTGTATAAATTACAGGACCCCCTGCTTTTGAGTTTTTGTCAACAATCTCGTTGATATCACTCTCGTTGATGGAAGCCGCAACATTTCCTCTGTCTCTACCTATGCTTATTTTGACCTTGGTGAGGTTCCTGTATTCTCCCGCCACCTGTTCCCATTCTTCGCCAAGTGATTGACTTCCAGTACACAGATTTTTCTGAGGTAATCCTCTGCTTCCGCCATCCAAGACTTTCCTCTTTTGATTCTGCCTCTCTTGTTATGAAGTGCTTTGTGAAGTGGATGACCTTTCTTGCCCATTACACTACTTGTGTAGTATTGCCACTATTAACTAAGGTGATATACATATATACAAACATTTCTGTTGAGTTTCAATCTGTATTTCATGGGTAATGGTGACAGTAAGCTGGACAAAACTCATCCAACTAGTCAATTTCATATTTTTCAGTTATTATCCGTCTTTATTGCATAATTGCTTTTACATAATAACCCAAAGAACCATGCAGCCCATCTAGTATGATAGCTCATTCAATTACCCCTCCAGCGGTATCAAATGTATATACTTTCATTGAAAAAATATGGTAGCAGAATCAATTTGAGCAAGATACCCTGTTGTAATAGGTGCTTCTGAGAAAATTAATTCTGGCTTAATGACGAGTCTGTGCAAAAAAATTCAGGGCGCAAAGAGTTAACTCCTTAACCTCTCATGACACAGGGTCAGTTCATGCTTCAATAAGCAGTTTTGGATCTCCAGGAACAAAGAGTAGCGCTAGATGTAGTGGTCAGGTGCCCCTAATTGGACCTGGTTTGGGGGCTCTCGTGGCCTTGAGGTTAAGGTGTTGGCCTCTCATTCAAAGGTCCCGGGTTCGAATCCGGGTTGCGACCGAAAAATTTTCTTCTCTAAAATTGTCTCCTTTCACCTCCTTTCCTACTCTCTAGCAATATTCTGTCGTCTGCTCTCATCTCCTCTTTCTGCCCCCACCCCTTCACCTCCTTTGCCCCCTCCTCTGGGCTCCAGACTCTTTCTGCAGCCTTTCTACTGCTACTCCTTGACTCCTTACAGCTGTCTTTCTGCCACACCCCTGATCTTCTGGTAGGAAAGATTTACACCTAGCCTTCTCGGACAAGGGCGAAAAATCTCGGAGGGCTGATTTTAGGATGTACATTGTACGGAAAGACGGCATCTTGACATTCAATGTTGAATATACTGTGTACAGGAGCTGTCACAAAAGGGTTAAAACCCACTAGGCAGTAGTGACCCTGTTCCCCATCAGATGCTGGGAGCGACAGATACTAGTGAATACTGTTTTGTTTCATGTAGAGCATGTTTTTTCTTGTTTTTTGGAAGTATTTCTAATTTAAGTTCCAACCAAGGCTTTGTAATTTGAAGGCAAGTTTAGATTTTGTTTTTAAAGTGGTTTTTCCCCTTTGTTTAAGTCATATCGTGTTACATTGTTTTCAGAAAAGGGTTGTTGGCCATTATGGATGGTAGATGTAAACTGACTGTAGATGAGGCATCTCATTTGCTATAAGTAATTCAACTTGAAGAATTGAGTAGCTATCGTTTTTAAGATGATAGTGAGGACTCTAGCTTGAGTGGTGAGAATGATGTGGAACTAGAATCACGTGTAAATAAAAAATCAGGTGTCAGTTCTAGTGGTGAACCAGTACCAGGGCTAAATAGGCCTGTAAATTGTTTTCTTCCTAAAAGTTTATTTCATCTTATTGTGTATTTACTTTCCTTCAGTTTAATATGGAACACTTATGTGTTGTCATTGACAACTACAGTTCTACAGGGATTATAATGAGGCAAGGTGTGCTAGGCTTAGGTGACTATGGAAAAAACTCTGGGAAAAGGTGGTGAAAAACTCAGGGTTAAAAGAAAACTTCTAATTGTTTTACCTGATAATAATAAATAGCATTTGTATAGCGCATATCCCCGCTCAACAGCAGGCTCTATGTGCTTTACACTATATTATTACCCCAGCAGACCATAGAACACTCCGAAACATTCTCAGCTTCCCGGGAAGCATACAGTGCAAGCAGCCGATTAAGCGCTCAAACACTAACAGATAAGATCTTTCGCTGTCTATAGCCGGGTACCTATTCCCACCTGGGTGAAGTGAGGAAAATTCGTGTAAAGTGCCTTTCCCAAGGACACAACGTCGGGTCCCTGACGGGATTCAAACCCACGCCCTTACGGTTGCGAGTCCGAGAGCCTGACCACCGACGCCACATGATGCGCTTCCTGATGACGATAAGGTTTTAATTCTGAGGTGAAATACATTATGTAGATTGAAATAAGGTGTTGCTCTTTTCTGTTGTTTCCATCTATTTGTGTAGTGTACTGAACTCAAATTGAATGAGGAAAAACATGCAGGGTTAGTGGATTTTATGACAATGTTGTAGAATTTTGTAGCTACGACAGCAACATAAAGCTGTCTATTGATTCATTGTTTTGTTTTGAGTATTATAAGTTCAAAGCTTGCTTTGCTTCAACTTATTTGAGGTCCATCACGTTCCCAGGGCTGCCCAATATTATGAGTTTGGTGGAATCTTTACGATTTTTTTTCAAATTTACAAAATTGTGCTCGTAACGCCCTTGATTCTGATGGTCTTTTTCTGTACTTCGAAGCAATGGTGCCTTGAGTTATTAGTAGTGTGACTATTAACTCCTGCTGGCTCCATTTATCACTCTGTGCCGTAATTTTCCATTACAGCTTAATGTTGAATTAACCTCAGTGAGTAGTTTAATGTTATGTCGTGGTTTAATTTTACTTCAGGCTGAGAAAAAATGAGACAAAATCTATTATTTTTTAAAATCGCACATATTGTAATGACTGCCACGTTTCAAATAGCTTTGAATAGTTAGTGCAAAATTACTGAATGTTGAATAGCAGAATCGAAAGCGCACAACTCTAATTTACATATGAAGCTCAACACCCACAGAGCTTATCTTTTTTTAAATAGTACACTGTCTAGTGAGTCGATGCAAGCAAATGTCTTATATGTGCTGTTTCCTCCTGTTTTTCAGCAACTTACGTGTCCGTGGAACATCATTGTGCGACATTGCAATCCTGGTTATTGACATTATGCATGGGCTGGAGCCACAGACCATTGAGTCCATCAACTTGCTGAAAGACAGGAAGACGCCCTTTGTTGTAGCGCTCAATAAGGTGGAGGCATCAAGCTTTTTAATATATTTTAAAAATTAATTTCCTAGCTCTGATTAAAGGTTTTTACCTGTTCCCATCACAAATTTTGTGGGAACGAGTGCAGGTTGATATTGTTGGGTAGGTGTGGATACCATGTTTTCAGAAAAATGGCTTTTAAGGTTCCTAGGATTGTTCTCCAAATGATTATTATCTATCAATTGGCCAGCCATGCTTGTTTCCAAAGCCCTTGGTACAGTTGCTCCTTAAACCGCAACTTTAAAGGACAGTTTTCAAAACAATTGAACACTTTCAGAGTCATTAAAACATTTTCAAAACAAATTCACAGTCAAATAGAACTAGAAGTTTTTCACAACACAAACCTTACACAGAGAATCTCCACAACACAGAACCTTACTCCAGTCGTAAACGAATTTGTTGCCAAATAAATACCAAACATCCTGCTCTGATAAATGGGCAGAAGAGCTTTGATTTGTTATTGTAACTTTTTTCAGCTGCAATTCACGTTATTATTTAAAATAAAGGTTTTGTTTTCCACTGCTCAGTGAGTGTTTATCCAGTTGGACCTGCAACTTACAAAGTGTAATTTGACTTTGGCCCCTTAATAAAAAAGTAATTGAGTTTGACACCCTTGGCTTAGAAGCATAGCTGGCCTTGATCTAACTGAGGTTTTTGGGGAGACTGTTAGTGTTAGACATCATTTTGACAACACTATCAACCACCACAGAGGTACAGCATAGTTTTAGTACTTCTTAAGAAGGGTCAAGTCTACAAATAGAAATTGAATAGGACAAGACAGGTTTAACTTCTTAGTGTGTCCATCTATTCTTATGGATCTGGAGATTGACAACAGCAAAATAATTAACTGGTTTGCCCTCAAAAAAGAAAGATGAACAGACCTACTTTTCAAGTAAAGGTGGGACTCACACGGTGTCTTTCTTGGTCCCCTAAAAGCAGGATTTTAGCAAATGCAGTGGAAACTGTGTAAGACGGCCCGCATTCTTGAGGAGAAAAGTGGCCATATAAGACAGATGGCCGTCTTGCAGGACTGATCAAAATGAAAAAAACAAACCATTTCCTTCTGAGGTCTCACTGGAGGTGGTTGCAGGCTTAGGACTGGTGGATGTAAGGCTTTAACATGAATTTGCGACAGAAGCGTCGCTCATTCTCCGAGTGGTGGCCACCGGTGTGTTTGTTTTACCATGGCACTCGGTCTTCATCGTTTTACATATTTCGTTCACTTTACCCTTGCACAAAATTTTGCGCAGCATAGTTTTAATACTTTTTAAGAAGGGTCAAGTCTGCAAATAAAAATCGAATAGGACAAGACAGGTTTAACTTCTTAGTGTGTCAATCTATATCTATGTAAAATTTATAACAAAAATGTTTGGGGTTTTTTTTTTTCTTTTGAAAAGGGGGAGGGGATAGGAAGGTTTTCGTGACATTTTTGTTGTTGTTAGTCTGATTTTCTTTTAACCTTTTGAGCCCTGACCTCCTGAGGCTATCATGCCCCTCTGCCTGAGGTCCTGAATGATATATTACTAACATCCATAAGATCATCAGAATCCGTTTTCATATCCCACTGAGGGTAGTCTTCGTCATTACCATCATCTAATTCAGAAAGACTTTCAATATAATCAATAGCATTCTGTGTAGTAAACACAGTTTTCAATGTGCATTTTGTCCCAGGCTGGCCGGGTTGGAGATAAGGTCTGGCTCACCAGTGTACCGGTGGCTAGGCATACGGGCAGTTTCACTCGTCTCGGGTTTACTGGTGGCAAGTGCTCAAGGGGTTGATTATGATTTTGTGCGAGATAAAAACATAACGAATGTTTCAGACGAGGAAGACTAAGTGCCATGGTAAAAATGGGTCACCACCACTCAGGGAACGAGCCACACTTTTACCGCAAGTTTGTATTGATGTCCATTGTTACGGATGGGTAAACAGAGCAACTGCTCACTTATGAGTTGTGGGAGGGGCTTTTAGATTTTGGCGGATCACATGCCTCCCTCACCAGCCGCTGAAAATTTATTGTTATCAATTGGTCAACTTGGGTAAACAGTAGAAGGTTCATTCATTGGAGGGGCTAACAATGACAACCGGTGTATGGATCATGATGGCTCATCCGCATTGACCCAGACTGGTATGTAATTTCTGATAAAGCGTCAGGTGATGAGAGATTTGCATGGCCATCTTAGACAGGTTTTGTGGGGTGGGGTGTTGGTTGATGGAATATATTGGCCAGAGCCGTGTTGAACAGGTAATTGTTTCACGTAGTGCTAATACAGTCGAACCTGTGTAACACGGCCACCCATTGTCAAGGATAAAAGTAGGCGTATAACATAGGTGGCCGTCTTAGGTAGGAGTGATAAATATGAAGAAAGCAAATCATTCTCCTCGGAGATCCAAACTGGAGCTAATCCCAGGCTTTGGACTGCCAAAAGGCTAATTCAAAAGGGTTTTTGTTTTCTTTTGAAAAGAGGGGGGGGGGGGGGGGTGAAAGAAGGTTGTTTTTTTTGCTGTTTTTTTCTTTGGTTAGCTTTTTTCTTGTTGCTAATTTTATGCAAGGGTAAACTAAACGAAATATGTAAAACGATGAAGACTGAGTACTATGGTAAAACAAACACACAGGTGGCTACCACTCGGAGAACGAGTGACGCTTCTGTTGCAAGTTCACGTCAAAGCCCATTGTTATTTTGTTACAGATTATAAGGTTAACAAAACAGTGACCAGTCACCTCACATACGATTTGTGTATGAGTTGTGGGCAGGGCTTAAAGGTTATGACGGATCACACGCTTCCTTCACCAGCAGTTAAAAATTTATTGTTACCCATTGGTCAACTTGGGTAAACATTCATTTGAGGGACTAACAATAACGAGATGTGAATGTATTATGACGGTCCGTCTACAGCGTCAGGGGTCCATTCAAAATTTATGACAAAGACTAGGGCAACGAGTGACCACGCCTGGCCGTCTGAGGCAGGTAAATTTGACAGCGTGTTGATAAAATAAGGTGGCCGCAGCTGCATTGGACAGGTGACCGTTTTACCCAGTTAAATTATATAGAAAAAAGGCAGGGGGGGGGGGGGGGGAAAGTGGCCGTTTGTACAGGTGTATTATATAGGTGGCCGTCATGGCAGGTTCGACTGTATATAGAAAAAAACTCGAGGGGGGGATGGAAAGTTGCTGTTTGTATAGGTGGCCATCATGTCAGGTTCGACTGTATTACCTTGTCAAATCAGGATCTTTGTAGAAAAAAGTATTTTGTAAAAGTTTCATTTTCTCTACACACCTGGATGTTATGGGGTTAGGACTGTTGGTGGGATCTTGAAAAAGTGAAACAGTTGCTCTGACCTATCAGGCACCACCAAGGAGTATGACCAATATTCCCTTCACTCTTAGGTTGACAGACTGTATCAGTGGAAGCCTCAGCCCCAAGCAGATGTTATGAACACCATCAAGAAGCAGTCATCACACACCAAGTCAGAATTTGATGAGAGGTCCAGGCAGGTCATACTACAGCTGGCTGAAGAGGTCAGTATCACCATTGTCTACTTTTGTTACAAATATTGTGTAGTTTGATAGTGTATACTATAAACTCTGTTAGAAAATTAAATGCCGAAGACTTTATTTTTAGACCCAGGCCAACCATATTGTATTGCTGAGACTATTTCTGGTGGAAGTGATGTTGGTTACTTATTTTGTTCCCTTAAAGAAATAGGAAAGCCTGATGATTTTCTAATCGTCTGCAGTCAAAATTATTTATGTGAAAAACACAACTGTGCAGGTTTGCAATACGTTTTGAATTATGAAAATCTGTTTAAAAACAACTTTTTAATACATTTTGTCTATCTTAAGGGGATTTTTGTGATACTGATTTGCTTAAAAAATATATAATCAAAGGGTATGGACTGACTTTCTTGACTTTGAGATGTGATAGCAAGCAAGCTTGATGTCACATTGAACTTGAAAAACTTGCAGTGTTTTTAGCTTGGGCTTTCTTTAAAGATTTTACTCCCCTTTCAACTGATATAAATTACTGTGCCAAAAACAAGAAAAACTTCAAACAAAATTTCAGATTCCTTTCTGCGGCAAAAAAAGGGTCTCGATCGAGGCAGCCTGAGACCAAGGAGAAATTATTGGGAGGCTAAAATCATCATTAGAATGGAGCTCTTAGTAAAGTGGAAGGAACAGCTTCCACACAATGATCAGGCTGACCCCTACTGTCCTCTCTCTTGTTTAGCAGGTTGTTTTATTCAGACTCAGAATAAGCCATAACCAACTGAAGTATACTATCTGTACACAAAGCATAGTAGACCTGCATGTTTGCCGACAATCGTCTGAAATCCGACAATCGCGACCCAACCCGCGAACCGGCCGATGCCATCGCTAAGCCCGCCTGTATCAGTCAATGTGCGTAGTGCGAGGCCTGGCCGACGTGTATTGTCGGAACCTAAGTAGAAATGCGAATACGAAAAAGGAACCTAAATTATCTACAGTCAAACCTGTGTAAGACGGCCACCCATTGTCAAGGAGAAAAGTGGCCGCATAAGACAGGTGGCCGTCTTAGGCAGGACTGATCAAGATAAAGAAAACAAACCATTCCCATCTGAGGCCCCAATCGAAAGTAGCCCCATTGTTGTTGTCTTTGTTGGTGTTGTTGCTGTTGGTTTGTATTTCGTTTGTAATTTTTATTTTGTCGCTGATTTTGCACAATAGTGACAATAAAACGAAATGTATCTGACAAGGAAGACCGAGTGCCATGTTAAAACAAACACATGGGTCGCCACCACTCGGAGAACGAGGGACGCTTCTGTAACAAGTTCATGTTGACGTCCTTTGTTACTTTGTTACAGACTGGGTAAACAGTAACCACTCATCTCACTTACGATTTGTGTATGAGTTCTGGGCGGGGCTTATGGGTTATGAGGGATCACACGCTAACTCACCTGCAGCTGAAAATTGGTAGCTATTGGTCAACAGTGGGAGGGGCCAACGCAACATGATCGGTTGGAGGGACTACCTAACAACAACGACAGGTGATTGAATTATGACGGCTCGCCCACAACGCCAGGGGCCAATGCACAATTTATGACAAAACGTAATGGATTGACTAAGGTGACCGTCTTAGACAGGTGTTATTGCTTAGTATTATAGGGGTTGTGTGTTAAATTTTTGTGGCCGCGTTGGACAGGTGCCCGTTTTACACAGTTAAATTATATAGAAAAAAACGCAAGGGGGGAAATGGTAAGTGGCCGTTTGTACAGGTGGTCGTCTTATAAAGGTGGCCGTTAGGCCAGGTTCGACTGTACTTTCAGTTTCGTGCTCGAGCGGCCATTTTTAATTTCGTTTGTTGACTAATTCAATTGTTCAGATCGTGTGGATTCATTCATCAAGTCCGACTCTCTTGTTCTAATAGAATCTAGATCTAGATCTAGATTTAGATTTATGTAGATCATTATAGACCTCAATGGAGGATTCATATTCCAATTCTATTGTGTCAAACCCTATCATAGGTTGTGCTGTAATATTAATATTGGTAAAAATAAGCAATTCATCAGGTGCATGAATTATTTATTTATTTAGATCTCTAGATTAGTTCTAGAATCTAGATCTAGATTCTAGATCTAGAATCTAGACTCAGCTGAGTCCCTCTGTTCGGAATCGGATGCGGATTTCGAGTTCAAGGCCTATTCCTATTCACTTGTTCTACAAGATCTAGATCTAGTCTAGATCTAGATTTATTTAGATTACTAGATCTAGATATATAGATCTATATGGAGGATTCATTATATTTCAATTCTATTGTGTTATTGTATCAAACCCTATAGCAATGTAGATGTAAGCCATATAGATCTAGAATCTAGATCTATATGCTCCTTGTTTGTTTTGGAGTGTGGTTTTTTAATTTAATTTTTTTTTTTCCATTTAAGACTTGTTTTGGCCTTTTTACATGAGGCCCGTTGCAGGTTCTTTTTGGGGGTAGGGTTAGGGTTAGGTCTCTTCTTTATTGTGTTTTTTTGGGGTGGTCGCTCGTTACCCTGATGTCCTTCCTTATGACACCCACAAAGGCTTTTTTTTTTTGGGGGGGGGGGTGCGCAAAATTTTCAGACAATCTGGTTGAGGCTCACATGCAGGTCTAGCATAGGATCAGCAACTCAGAGCAATGTTGCCAGCCAAACAGTAAATTATACACCACAAGACTGCCCAATGCATGAAGCACCTAGGAAAAAGTATTGACCAAACCCATGGCAAAGAGCCCCAAAACTCTGTGGGAGCCTGGAGCACTTGCGGCAAATAGCAGACTTCGCAGGACAGACTGGGATGTCCATTTAAAGATGAATAATGAGAAGAAAAAGGCTTTGTCCCTAATGGCTTTCCTTTACTGATTTGAGACATGAAATGATTCTGCTTTTTTATGCAAATTTTCTGCCAAATAAAGTAAACTTTTTCTGTTGCCCGCAAGTGCTAAAATTGTGGTAAGAATTTATGTAAGATTATGTTTTACTTTACCATTCTGACGATTAGAACAATATATGCCAGCACCACATCAGGGGACCCAAATGTAAAATCAAATTCCATTCTTTACAACCCTACCCCAGGTTGGGGAGAGGAGGTCATGAGTCCCCCTATGTTAGGGCATAAAAAATTGTTACTTTACTTTTACTTTTTCATCCTCTGTTGCCGTTAAGCGTTGAGGGGAGATACAGTTTTCTATGGTAAGCCAGCTCCACAGCTCTTTCAGTTGTTATGTTATGTTTTCTCAGGGTTTCGTTGACACCCTCGATCCACCTTTTGCATAGTCTTCCTCTTCCTTTATAGCCTGAGTGCTTGGTGTGATAGGCTCTCGAGGCAGGCTGGCCAGGTGACATGCATAACAGGTTGCCAAACCATTTTATTCTCTGTCTTTCTATGTAATGCAGGCAGGACTCAATGCCGGTAGCTGCTCTTACTTCTTCATTTCTCTACCTGTCTCGTCTTGTGATGTTAAGGGTTTTGCCGAGACATTTAATTTTCCCATGCTGTGATTTTGCTTTCATGGGTTTTACTTACTGTCCAGGTCTGGCACTGGTAGTATAATGTTGATATGAATATTGAGGTGAAAAGCTGTCACTTTGTGTACATGGAGATGTTTGGATGAGATAGGGGGGGTGCAAGATGGTAGGTGACAGCGTTGGCCTTTTGAGTTAGCATTTCTATTTCTCTGTCTTTGGACCCGTTTTCAGAAAAAGTACTGCCAAGATATTTAAACTCCTTCACCTGTTTCAGCTATTTACTATTGACATGGATGTTCAGGGGACTACGGTTTCGGCTCACTTTTATAACTTCTGTTTTTTATTTTCTGTTCAGTTCGGTAGTGTGATTTTGGAGGCTTTGTTGGTTTGGATAAATAAGATATTGATTGTCTGCGAATGGATGTTCATTTATGCTTTCTGGGCTTTGGTTTGCATCTTGCGTTATTGTGTCCATATATATTATAAACAGGAGGGGAGATAGAACGCATCCCTGTCGTACTTCAGATCTTACTTTTAACCAGTCTGTATTGCCTTCCTTTGTTCTTACTGAGCTTCTTCTGTTGGTGTATAGAGCTCTGACATTATCTAACAATTGTCCTCTGACACCATACTTTTCGAGTGTCTTCCAGAGTTTTGCATGGTTTACTCTGTCAAAAGCCTTCTCTTAGTCTATAAAGACGATGTTGTATTCTTTTTTGTGTTCGATTGTTTTTTCGCATATCTGTCTTAAATGCGAATACAGCATCCGTGCATTCTCTTCCCTTTCGGAATCCAAACTGAGCTTTGCTCTGATTTCTCTCTACAATAGGTCTTATCTGCTGTTCTAGTGATCTTTGTGTATATTTTCCCTGCGTGACTTAATAAAGAGATGCCTCTGTACGTTATGTAGTCCTGTTTGTTGCCTTTCTTTATCCATAATGGGATCACTATGGCTTTGTGCCAGTCTTCTGGGCATTTCCTTTGCTCCCAGGAAAATTTGCCTCAGCCACAGTACGCCTGTGTTTCCCCAAGCTCTTATGGCTTCCACTGTGATGTCATCTGGTCCTGAGGCTTTGTTCTTGGGGCTGGTTTTGAGTGCCTTTTCGATTTCACAGAGAAGTATAGATGACTCTGTATGCTCTCCATATGGTTGGAACTCTTCTTGTTGTCAGTGGCAAGTGTCTGGGTTGAATAGTTCTTGGAAGTAATTTTCCCATCTTTTCTTAATGGCATGCTTGCTGAGAATGGCATTACTCTCTTTATCATTATAGTGCATGTTGGGTTGTATGGGTCTTTCCTTACGTGCATGCTGTTCACACTTTTATAAGACTCTCTAGGGTTTTCCTTGCAGATTTTGGTCAGTTTCTCGCCATATATTCTCCATTCATTTTCTTTAGCAGTTTTGATTATTCTTTTGGTCTCTCTTCTTGCTTTCCTGGATTTTATTTTGGCTAAAACAGCACCTGGACATGGATGGCTGGTGCCTCTATAAATAAATCATTGATGGTCAATAGTCTTGTTCGGTCTTTGACTTCTGCCATTTCTTGAATATCTTCTTTTTCATATGAATTGCTTCTTTGGTTTCATCATTCCGCATGTTGTTCTGCCTTTGTTTCCGCCTATTCGTTTGGTGCCACAACTGTTTTTCAGTATTTCTGACAGGGATTTTTTAAAATGTTAAACGCTTTGAAAATTCTATCGCATCCGGAGTGGGGCGGGGACTCAAAACACCTTCTCCACTTGTACATCTCCCTTGTCCGGTCCAGGCTTGACTACGGCTGTCAAGTCTACGGATCGTCAAAACCACACGTCTTAAAAATACTAGATCCAATACAAAACCAAGGACTCCGCCTCGCTCTGGGGGCTTTCCGCACTTCTCCGGTGGAGAGCCTCCAGGCCGAGGCCAACATACCACCACTCTCACTCAGACGCACACAACTCTCACTACAATACGCAGTTAAACAGAGCTCAACACCGGAAAATCCAGCGCACAACAGCATTTTTCAAACAAATCCAGAAACCAGAAACAAATTCCAAAACAACGAAAAACTCATCAAACCTTTCGGCCTCAGAATCCTTGCGGACCTCAAAAACTTACACTTTTCCAAACAAGACATCCAACAAATTCTTTTCCCCGACCTCCCTCCGTGGCACCTCACCCAGGCAAAAGTAGATTTACAGCTGACCACACACAACAAAGAAAGCACAGACTTTTCAAGCAGAATACAAAAAACTAATAGATAAATACCCTGGTGCGGAGCTCATCTTCACGGATGGCTCCAAAAAAGACAATGAAGTGGGCGCCGCAGCCCTATCTCCCAACAATACACACCAGAGGAGACTCCATCCTGAAGCCTCCATTTTCACTGCGGAGGCCACTGCCATTGACATGGCACTGGACTCTGTAGAAAATTCTCCTAACAAATCTTTCCTTATCCTTTCTGACTCTCTGTCTTGCATCACCTCACTCACAAACCACACACTCTTACACCCAAAAATAGTTAGGCTACAACAGAAAATCCATACACTATCCGAAACAGGAAAAAACATCATGTTCGCATGGATACCCAGCCATGTGGGCATCCGAGGAAACGAGCAGGTAGACGACCTGGCGAAGAAAGCTTCATCCCTTCTGCTGGGATCAACGACAAACACTCTCCCACAGACTGACTTTAGAAATAAAGTCAAAAAGTACACCTCCAGTCTGTGGGAGAGCCACTGGGAAAACCAGAAAAATAATAAATTATATGAAATTAAACCCAAACTAGAACAGCGAAATCCTTCGGATCTCTCCAGAAGAGACGAAGTCATTTTTACTCGATTGCGCATCGGACACACGTCCCTGACCCACAAATACCTCCTACAGGGAGATGAGAAGCCGTTCTATGTCGGATGCGACACAGATTTTACCATTAGACACATTTTAACAGAATGTCTAGACTTTGGAGAGATCCGAAGGAAATATTATAAATGCAAGAAATTGCAGGATATTTTTTCCGTCGTTGTTCCCAGCAGAATTTTAAATTTTATAAAGGCCATTGGCCTTTATGGCGAGTTGTAGAGTGAATTTGATATTATTTAAAAATTTTATTGTTACTTAAAAGTTGTTTTAGATCACAAATGTATTTACACCGAATTTAAATATTTTAACTTTTTAACATTTTAAAGTAAATTAGTTAGCCAGTCGTGAGGTGAACTTTCGCAGAGGTGAACAACTTGTGTTTCGCGCGCTCATATGACCTTAGCAGTTGCGAGCGCCGTAAAACCTTATACTATACGATACGATACAGCTGACCACGCACAACAAAGAAAGCACACACACCAAAACTTTTTAAGCAGAATACAAAAAACTAATAGATAAATACCCTGGTGCGGAGCTCATCTTCACGGATGGCTCCAAAAAAGACAATGAAGTGGGCGCCGTAGCCCTATGTCCCAACAGTACACACCAGAGGAGACTCCATCCTGAAGCCTCCATTTTCTCTGCGTGGTCCACTGCCATTGTCATGGCACTGAACTCCGTAGACAATTCTCCAAACAAATCTTTCCTAATCCTTTCTGACTCTCTGTCTTGCATCACCTCACTCACAAACTACACACTCTTACACCCAAAAATAGTTAGGCTGCAACAGAAAATTTACACACTATCAGAGACAGGAAAAAACATCATATTCGCATGGATACCTAGCTATGTGGGCATCTGAGGAAACGAGCAGGTAGACGACCTGTCGAAGAAAGCTTGATCCCTTCTGCTGGGATCAACGACAAACACTCTCCCACAGACTGACTTTAGAAATAAAGTCAAAAAGTACACCTCCAGTCTGTGGGAGAGCCACTGGGAACAACAGAAAAACAATAAACTATATGTTATAAAACCCAAACTAGAACAGCGAAATCCTACGGACCTCTCCAGAAGAGACGAAGTCATTTTCACTCGATTGCACATCGGACACACGGCCCTGACCCACAAATACCTCCTACAGGGAGATGAGAAGCCGTTCTGTGTCGGATGCGACACAGATTTTACCGTTAGACACATCTCAACCGAATGTCTAGACTTTGGAGAGATCCGAAGGAAATATTATAAATGCAAGAAATTGCTAGATATTTTTTCCGTCGTTGTTCCCAGCAGAATTTTGAATTTTACAAAGGCCATTGGCCTTTATGGCAAGTTGTAAAATGAAAAATGAAAACGTACTATTTAAAATTTTTATTGTTACCTATAAGAGTTTTTTAAAATCACAAATATATTTACACTGAATTTTAATATTTTAACATTTTAGCATTTTAAAGTCAATTGGTTAACCAATCGTGGAATGAACTTTTGCGAAAGTAAACAACTTGTGTTTCGCGCGCTCATATGACCTTAGCAGTTGCGAGCGCCGTAAAACCCTATACTGCATACATACATTACACCGAATTTTAATATTTTAGCATTTTAAAGTCTTAATAGTTAACCAATCGTGCAGTGAACTTTTGCGAAAGTAAACAACTTGTGTTTCGCGCGCTCATATGACCTTACGCAGTTGCGTGCGCTGTAAAACCCTATACTACTACTACTAGAGTAAGTATCACAGGTCTATGATTCATGTCGATATTGTAGATTGGAACAGCTCTCGAATCTTTGGCTGTATGTCATTGTTTTCTGTGCATCAGGATGAAATCAATTTGTGATGCCTGGTTCAGGTCATTCCACCTTTACCAGGTATTGATTTGGCTAAGTCTGTGTTGGAAAAATGTGTTTGTAATCTTCATGTCGTGCTCAGCGCGTAGGTTTAGTATCATTTCTCCATTGCTGTTGCAGTCTGTATCTTAATCACTGTGGGGTCCAAAGTGCTCTTCCCAGGATGTTCTTCTTTGTCCAGCTCTCCCATTTAAATCTCCCAAGATAAATATATCTTTCTTGTTCTTGATGGTATTAATGTGGTCACTCAGGTCTTGGAAATATGGTTGTCTATCTTCCTCTGTATAGCTGTTGTTACAAGGAGTGTATGTTTGAATGTATGTTGTTGTTATGCTACCCTCTATGAGTTGTGTGCTCACAATTCTCTCTGAGATCTGGTTGATTTCATAGTTTGTATCCATTTTGGCTTGGTGTATGATGAGAGCTACATCATGTTTGGCTCTCTTCATTTTCAGGTGTTCCGCTCCAGATCAGGAGGTAGCCTTTATGAGTCAGCTTGCTGTGGTTGCCTCTCTTCCTTATGTCTGACAAGCCCAAGCCCATGATTGTTATTTTCTTTCTTTCCATGAAATTCACTATTTCTGGTTCTTTGTCTCCAATGAGGTAAAAATATCAAATTCTCTCGTCCCAAGAAAGCTCAATGCCTAAAGATTCTATTTTTCTGGTAGAGCAAGTTGTTTACCATGCTCTTAACTTGTAAATTAACTCTGACGAGTATGCTCATGCCTTAGCAGTAGCAGGGATCCCTTTAGGATGAATGACTAGAATATTAGCTTTGTAAAAAGCTTTTAAACATACCTGTCCGACTTTCTGTGTCAAATCAGCAATCTCTTTACAAAAATGAATACATTTATCATTTATTTGATAGGCACGTGTCAAGACGCGGTGGAATCAGGCACTCATCAATTTTTAGGCATATGGAGTTATTGATAATATCTCAAAGCCTCTTCGTCTGTCTTGCTTTGGATTTTAAAAAAAATACTATTAAATCTTGAATTTAAAAAAGTCGAGATATTTATGTTGAAGGAGGGTTAAGGTCGCTTGGTCTCAGAAGTAAAATTAGAGAAAATGGCCGCCAAAGTTTAGTCACTTCCATAGCTTGAGAGTCCTTGAAAACTTTACAATTTTTATTCCTCTACTCAACGTTTGTTGGTAAAATCCGTACAGAAATATTCTTTTAAATTAACATAAAAGATGGTGAGCCCCCCCAAAAAAATTTCAATAAAATTTGCCAAGCCAGCAGAAAAAAGCCTCTATCTTTGAGTTCATTATTTTGACATGCGCCTGATTTCACCACAATGCCTCACATATGTACGATATTTCTGAAAGTTTTTGGTCTTAAAGGTTCATACACTTTTTTTTTAGAAAGCTTACCTAGCAGCCATAGTCCTGCCAGTCAAGGATGGCTGATCTTCAAGTTGTCAAGATATAAGCCAATGAACTCTGCCTCCAGTTCAGATTTTCCTTTCACACGCTCTTTGCAAGACTCCCGTATGTGTTATCCGCATCATTGTTGAGTGAGTGTTCATCCAATTTTTTTTAACCCTCCTCAGGGCTTGAATGCTGCATTGTTTTATGAGAACAAGAACCCCAAAGAGTACATATCCCTCATCCCCACCTCAGCGCACACAGGGGACGGCATGGGCAACCTGGTGGCCCTCATCTGTGAGCTGTGCCAGACCATGCTGGCCAAGAGGCTCATGTACAGCACCAACTTGCAGGCTGTTGTCATGGAGGTATGTACAATGACAACCACACCTCACACACACACTCCCATAAACATATACACACGCATGTACTCACACACCAGGGCTGCCAGTTTTTACCGATTTTTCAGGTTTTTACCTGTTCTACTACTATACTGATCAAGGTGCCCAAACTACCGAATTGATGCTGAGGTTGAAATAAAGGTTAAGGAAGTCTAGTTATTGACTTGTAAAATAACCTTTGTTCTTCAAATTGTTATTACTTGTCCTGATAAGGTAAGTTTAATTTTTTGCCAGGTACATTGCAGTATTTGTTCAGCTTTCTACTTTTAGCAAGTAAGTTTCACATAAACAAGTGGGCGTACCAGAAGTTTGGGCATCATATCAGTGCTTAGTAGTCGTTCAAGAAACTCAAGATTTTCTTTAATTTTAGTTACCATGCAGATTCCCTAATTAGACCTGCATGTTTGCTGACAATTGTATGAAATCCGACAATCGCGACGGGGCCCACGACCCGGTCAATGCTATCGCTATAGGCCCACCTGTATTAGTCGATGTGCGAAGTGCGAGGCCTGGCCAATTTCCAGTGCCCCCTTTCTCTCCAGTTGGCTTTGTCTACACTTTTGTTTTCGTGCCGACTGCCCACGTCGGCGTTTCCGACATAAATATTGGAACCTGAGTAGAAATATGAATACAAAAAAGGACAATAACGTAAATTGAATCTACTTTGTTTCATGCTCGAGCGGCCATTTTGAATTTCGTCTGTTGACCGATTGTTCAGATGTGGATTCATTCAAGGCCTACTCACTTGTTCTACTAGATTTAAATTTATATAGATCACTATAGACCTCCATGGAGGATTCAAATTCATAATATGCTTATGTTGGTAAAAGTGCATTTCATCACGTGCGTAGATTATTAGACTCAGCTGAGTCCCTCTGTTCGGATGCGCATTTTGTTCAAGGCCTATTCCTATTCACTTGTTCTACTAGATCTAGATCTAGATTGACCTAGATTACAAGATCTATATGGAGGATTCATATTCCAATTCTATTGTGTTATTGTGTCAAACCCTATTATACCCCCAGTGGGTAGGGGGGGTATAAATAGACCCACTGCTCCGCCAGCAGAAGGTGCAACCCCTTCGCTGGCGATTTGTCGCCCATGGACATCTACGCTCAGGTGCACATGGGCGACACTTGCTTTGGTGTATCGTCTGTCTTCTATC